GCTGATGTCTAATAACATGAGATTCATACAAGCTCCTAGAAGTTCATCTTAAATATTTGCTCCACAGAGTGATTTTTCCTGATCCCTACAGTATATTATTTCTCCCACTTTATTTCCTACAGTGCTGTGTAAATACATATTACCATATTAGAGTATTCATCACAAGTTTGTGTAGTCACGTATTTAATGCATATCTTTACTGATAAAATCTAAAATCTCTTAAGACAAAGACATGTAGTTTTTACTTTGCTGCTATATTCCAGCCTATTATAAAGATCCCAGTACATACAAGGTGCTCAACTAATAGCTGATGATTTAACACAATAGTACAACTCAACCCACCATTAATCAAAAGTAAACATCAGGTATCACTTGAAATCAAAAAGCCTACCTACTGAATGTTTTCTTTCTCTTCAAGAGCTATTACAAAGCTCTTGGTCCAGTATTTTCCTCTTAAAAATAAATGATGTTTGTTGTCTCAATCTCTTTATAATTTCTCTATTGTCTGTAGGAAGATTTATCATTCTAGAGTTGCTTTTCATTCTAAACTATACACACATTTATTGATACTTAAATAATTTTTAGACTTTAAAAATCTCTTGGAACTTAAGATTGTATATACCTATTTTTAGATAACATTTTTTTATTTACCAGCATATAATATTAGTGGACGATGTCTGACTTCAAAATCATTTTGCAATAAAAATTCATAAGCCTTAAAATCATGCAATCATAGTTCACCAATCACTTTTTGTCTGTGTGACCTGTAGTAAGTTCCTGATCTCTCTGGACCACTTCTCTCATATGTAAAGTGAGGTTCAATAAACTGGTTCATAAAGCACTGAACCTGGAATTCAGATTGTGTGTGTGTGTCCACGTGTGTATGCGTGTGAACATATGTACACACATTAATGCATTCATGCACTTTTAAAAGAAAACCAAAGGCCCAAGATGGCTTTGCTTAGGTTAAGGCTCCGAGTCAGTAAACCAAAACTTGATACCTAATAACATCCTGACTACAGCTTCAATTCCCCAGAAATGTAACCTGTAGCCAGTCAACATGGGAATTTCCAGGTCAGCACTAGGAAACTGTTAATGACTCCTTCTGCTCCTGATAGTTTGACAAAATTGCCTAAAACAATGGATTCTTTGCTGATTATTTTTTTCCCACTCCTTCCCTACTTTTAAAAACCTTTCCTTCTAGGGGTGCCTGAGTGGTTCAGTCAGTTAAGTGACCTACTCTTGATTTCAGCTCAGGTCATTATCTCACAGTTTCTTGAGGCTCTGCTCACAGCATGGAGCCTGCTTGGGATTCTCTCCCTCCTTCTCTCTGCCCCCTCCCTCACTTGAACTGTCTCTGTCACTCTCAAAATAAATTTTAAAAAATACTTAAAAGAAACCCTTTCCTTCTCTGTAGCTCTGTGCAGATCCTCTTTACATGCTAGATGGGATGTTGCCTGATTCATGAATCGGTTAATAAAGCCAATTGGATCTTTAAAAGTTGCTTGGTTGAATTTTTGTTATTTGACAGCATATATAAATTTAATACAGTATATAGCTTGAAATCCTTTTCAGAGAATTGAATACCCAAAATCAATTTATTATCTCAAGTCTAGTCTATTCTTCATTCATTTATGTATCCATCCATCCATTCATTCATTCATTTACACATTCCTTCTACAAACATGTTGATTACCTGTTATTTTCATTAGTTACTATACATATAACAATAAATAGGCCACCTTTTTCATTAAGGAGCTGATAGTTTGGGATATAGTCAGACCTGTAAGTAAATAATTATGTATCATGATATTGTGTTAGAACAGAAATACATCTGAGGACTGTGGGAGTATGTATCTGGAAGAATTAGTATTATACCAGTTCAAGTTATGAGCATTGAGTATCTACATTTGGGGATAAGATATAGAGAGCTCATGAAAGCAGCAGCACCAAGCCAATATGTATTGGAAAAAAATGATCATATAATCACACATTTTCCTAGTCCATAAGCTGCCTCCTAGTTGTAGGCAAACAGTTAAATTTAAATTAATGTTGATCTTTCTTTAAGGATAAATGACTTGTGAGGGTATACATGTATACATATGGGAGTATATGATGCTGTATACCACTGGCAACTATCTATATCAGGAGGGAAAATATCACTGGTGCTAAATACATGAACATATTTTCAAAACGTATCTATTTAAATTTAAGATGTCCTTATGAAATGGATGTTCCTTTAAGTGTGCGTGTGTGTGTGTGTGTGTGTGTGTGTGTGTGTATCAGTAACATGAAGAACCTGAGTTGTCCTAAGCACCTCCAAACATATGGGTATTGTCTAGAGTTGGAGATTTGCCCTCTATTTTTCACACATTCTTCAGGAGTTGCAGCATGGAATGAGCCCTTCTGTTCTCGCAGACCTGAAGTTGAATCTATATATCTTGGTAGTCCTAGGAGGTCATAGATCATTTCCAGAATCCAGATCTTCAGCCTTAAGCAAGACCTCAAAAATTTGTTCTATTGAGTAATTATGCTAAGAAACATGATGCGTCATTAGAGAGATAAGCAGCCAGTATGAAACAAAACAAAACAAAAGTTTAAAAATGATTTTAGGTATTTAAAATAAACCCTTATATACAATCATCATTCTATCTGTTAGCCTCTGTGTCATAACACAGGGAACATGATTAAAACTCCAGAAGCACGCACATAGGAGAAGCTAATTTTCTATGGTTATTTTTCACAATGTTTTCTAGGATTACTTTCCCCAATATTATACATCCATCTAGGGAGTACATAACTGGGTTACACTACAGCAAATACTCATAGGAAGAAAGAGTTTCAAGATTCAGATTTCTAAAATAATTGTTAATTATCATACCAAGCATGTAATTAGGTCCTGCCATTATGCTAAGTGTTGGATATAAAGAGACTGGGGAAGCTCTCGGTTCACTCGGTGATGCTGATAATAAAACACACAATGAAAATAAGAGATTCCAGAAAATTTTGGGGAGTTTTTAAGCAATAAACATGTTCAGATTTGAGATTTAGAAAGAACTCTGGCATGCAGATAAGTAGGTAAAATATTAACATAGGAAAAAAAAGAAAAACTAAAGCTTAGGGAGATAACACCAGCCCGTAAAAGAAAAACACAGAGAAGCTGGAGGCAGCTTCGCAGGTGATCGACTCAGTCAGGATTCCCTGGCCTGAGGCAACAGCACAGATACTGCCAGGCTATCAAGCCCTGAACTCCCCACAGGGGACCCTGGCTACTCAGAAGAGGGGCAGAGTGTAATGCAGCCACTTGGGTCTCCCTTCTGTACACTCAGTGTGAGGAGGATGAGAGAATATGCAAGACAGGGAGACCAGCAAAGAACCCCAGAGAATGTAGGTTATTGATCAGAGTCCTGAATCTACCCGATATACAACACTGCTCCTCTCGCCTTGCTATTCACCTCCTCACCACATCCTTCTTCGAGCCACGGCTGAGTTTCTTGTCCGTCAGGACAGCCAAAGTCATAGAGGTAAAAAAATATCGTTGTCAACTCTCAAAGAAGGAAGAAATGTTTAGGCTAAAGTAGAGTGTTATTTTATGAACATGAAGGAAAGTAAACAAAGCAGAAAAAAGACTCAGTAGCTCCAACACCAGATCTTCCAGAGAAGCAGAAATCTATTCTTCGCTTAAGAATAGAAAAATGGGGGAGCCTTGTTGGTTCAGTAGGTTGAGCATCTGTCTTTGGCTCAGGTCATGATCTTGGTTTTGTGAGTTTGAGCCCCACGCTGGGCTCTGTGCTGACAGCTTGGAGCCTGGGACCTGCTTAGGATTCTGTCTCCCTCTCTCTCTCTCTCTGCCCCTCTCCTGCTTGCACTCGGTCTCTCCATCTCTCAAAAACAAATAATAAACATAAAAAAGTTTTAAAAAAGAATAGAAGAATGAATGTTGTATCTATTCCTGGGCATCCTCCTGCCACAGGGTTATTTTGGGGCCACTTTTGACCCTCCACCAAAGTCCCTGTGTGCCCTTCTCTGTCTTTGGGTTCTGATAGCTGCTTCCTCCCGGACAACTTCTGGCCCACGATGGGAACAGCCACAAGGAAATGGATTCTCTTTTTTTTCTCTCCCCTATGGTCATCCTTCTGTAAAATTCTCATTGTTTTATTAAATTTTCCTCACCTGACTCAAAAGCTTGTGCCAGGTACCTAATGGAAGTACAGCAGCATATGCCTCATGTAAGCTTTACAAAACATAATTCCATTATCTTCTGCTTACATATCGGGTTTGTGAGGAGTTCAACACCAGTGTCAATAAGTGACTAGTACATCGTATGTTATAGAGCAGTCCTCAGCAGTCACATATAAACACTAAAATTTTAATGTGTATACATGTGTGTAAACTACATTGTAATCTACTTGAGGTTAGGTACTAAATTTTACACAGTGGAGCTCAGATATTTGTTCTGTGAGCGAATAGAGAATGGATGAAACAATTGATACATTTCCTAAAAGTTCATTTTTCCAAGGCAAACAGCTTTCTAAAGGACAAAAGGTGCCCTGTCTTGTTTTTCAAGGATTAGAGAATGTAAGAAAGCTGATTGTCCATTTCCACCAAAATGGTAAGTTTGCATCCTAGGGGTTTTGTTCCACTTAAATAAAATTTCTGTATTTCAACATCTAGGGAAAACCATTCACTATTTTTGGGTATTTTTTGTTTATTTTGTTTTGTTTTTCTTTTCCTTTACCCTACCATACATATTAAACTAAGACCACACCTCTGTGAGAGATGTAAAATCAACCTATTTTGGAATTAGAATATGCATTGACTGTAATGAATATTCTGATTAAGCCCCAAATTGAAGTCTGAACAAGGGCACCATATTGAGGCTTCTCTGTTCTATTACTCAATTGCATTGTTATAGATGCCCTTTATATAATATAAAACATCAACTCTGGTTAAGGAACACTTTAATCAGAACAACATTTCATTAAAAAGGAAAAAAAAAGATAATTACCTGAGAGAGGAAATACCATGCCCGGGAAGGTGATTTTCCAAGGGTGAGGCTTATCTATGCACTCTAGATGTGCAATGTCATTTCTCCAAATATGGAAAAGTCAACTGTATTATATGCAATAGTGGGAGACTGTTGGTACTTTCCCCTGATATTTTAGGTTCACAAATGTTGCATTCTATAATTTGCTGCCAGGTATTTGTAAGTTAGGTTTGGCCCTGTTTTTGTATGTAGACATTTTCAGTCTAGTAATTTTGCAGTGTTACTCTGCTGTGCTAATTGACATTTTCTCTCCTTCCAAGATTCTTTTTTTTATGTTTATTTATTTTTGAGAGAGACAGAGTGTGAGCAGGAGAGAGGTAGGGAGACACAGAATCTGAAGCAGGCTCCAGACTCTGAACTGTCAGCACAGAGCCCGATGTGGGGCTTGAACCCATGAACTGTGAGATCATGACCTGAACTGAAGTTGATGCTTAACCGACTGAGCCACCCAGGTGTCCCTTTCTTTCCAAGATTCTGGTCATTCTGTGTGATTTATACTTATGTTTGTATCTACTTCTTGTGTTTGATTTTGTCTTGGCAGGATTTATCCTTTTCTCCAGTGTTTAAAATCTTTTAAAAGGCTTCCTTCCTGCTTTGTGAGGTGCCAATATCATCTCCAAATATCTGGTCCTGCATTTTAAACCACACCTAAAGACTCCTTCTCAGTGCTTCTCAACTATTCCTACCTTTGCCTCTTTACTGCTGTATTTTTTTTCAGGGATTTTTCATCTTGCTTAGTGTGGTCCTTGACCAGAAACTTCAGCATCACCTGGCACCGTGGGAGTGTGCTAAGAATGACGCATCAGAAATCTTGCCATTTGCAGCAATGTGGTTGGAACTAGAGGGTGTTATGCTAAGTGAAATAAGTCCATCAGAGAAAGACGGATATCATATGATTTCATTCATATGTGGAATTTGAGGAACTTAACAGAAGACCATAGGGGAGGGGAAGGAAAAATATGTTTCAAACAGAGCAGAAGACAAACCATAAGAGACTCTTAAACACAGAGAACAAACTGAGGTTGGGGGTGGTGGGATAGGAAGGTGATGGGCATTGAGGAGGGCACTTATTATTTTTTAATATTTTTAATCATTTTTGAGAGACAGAAGGAGACAGAACATTAGCAGGGTAAGGGCAGAGAGGAGGGGAGACACAGCCTCTGAAGCAGACTCTGGGCTCTGAGCTGGCAGCACAGAGCCTGATGCTTGGCTCGAACCCACAAACTGCGAGATCATGGCCTGAGCTGAAGTTGGACTGTTAACCAAATGAGCCACCCAGGCGCCCCAGGAGGGGACTTATTGAGATGAGCATTGGGTGTTGTAAGTAAGTGATGAATCACAGGAATCTACTCCTGAAGCCAAGACTACACTGTAGGTTAGCTAACTTAACAATAAATTTTAAAAAATGCAGCATCTTAAGCCTCACCTTTGCAAAATCTACCAAATCAGAATCAGAAGTTTAATAACATTGCCAATTAATCTTATTTGCAATAAAGTTTGAGAGGAAAGAATGGGGGAAGCACTGATACAAAAATATCTTACCAATGTTACAACTGAAGTAAATTCTTTTTTGTCTATGGACAGAAATGTCCTTAATTGGGGTGCGTGGGTGGCTCAGTCTGTTAAGCTTCCGACTTTGGCTCAGGTCATGATCTCATGGTTCATGGGTTCGAGCCCTGCGTTGGGCTCTGTACTAACAGCCCGGAGCCTGGAGCCTGCTTCAGATTCTGTGTCTCCCTCTCTCTCTGCCCCTCCCCACCTCAGGCTCTGTCTCTCTCTGTCTCAAAAATAAATAAACATTTAAAAAAATCTCTTTAATTATTTTTTAAAGTTTATTTATTTACTTTGGGGTGTGGAGGGGCAGAATAAGAGTGAGACAAAGAATCCCAAGCAGGCTCCACACTGTCAGCACAGAGCCTGAAGCCACAAACTGTGAGATCATGACCTGAGCCAAAACCAAGAGTCAGACACTCAACAAACTAAGCTGCTTAGGCTCCTCCTCCTCCTCCTCCTCCTCCTTCTTCTTCTTCTTCTTCTTCTTCTTCTTCTTTCTTTTTTTTTTTTTAAATAATTCTGTCCTTAGTTTCTTTTCACTCTTCTATCCTTATTAAATCATATTTAAATAATTTTCACTAAAATTTATATTCAACATTTCCTAGACTGTTAGCCCCTTGAAGGGACTGACAAAGGACTCTATAATTCACAAAACACCATGCAGAGAGGCAACTTTAAAAAAATCTTGACGTGAGGTAAATGGTGGATTGTCCTTAGGAGTCTGAAGAAATTGCAGAAAACCTATTGCATTTAAGTAACTGTCTGCCTGTAATCCACCTCAGTAATAGAATGGAGATTTTCAGGGAAAGGCAGAGGGAAAGGAGCCTGTTTTTGATAAGAGGAAATGATTCTCGTAGGGTGGGACTCTATCATGAGCACTCTTCTGCTCTCTGCTTTGGTTTCTGCTAAAAGAAAGTGGCAGCAGGAAACTCCAACACAGTCATGTTGTGATCTGTGCAGCACTTTCCCTTCCTTTACGTGACTTCATTAGTCTTCCCACATACAATTAGTGTCTTTTCTTTCACTGAGCTCTCGAGTGGCTACAAAGTGTAAGGTGTCTAAGGCAAATGTCACAGAGGCTCCTGGCAAGCCTGTGAGCTCTCAGGCAAGCAACGGTACTGGGATGTGAGCTTGTCTCACATGGGCCTCAAGGCCGCGAATCACTCATTTTGACTTAAGAAGATACTGCTATTTTCTTTGGAAAACAAGGCTCATCTTACAATTCTAAGTGGCACAAAACTCCTTGAAAAGCATTATTTCCTAGTTAATTCCATGCACTTGTCACTCTGAAATTTACTTCTAAGAAAACAGCTTAGATACATTATCTGTAATTGGGTCCATAAAGATTCATCTCCAGGAACAATAGTCATCTCCAGACAATAGTCTGCTCTGGAAAAGCCTTTATCAGAGAACGGATCTTGAGGTCAGTAACACTTTCACAGCAACAACAGCAAAAATGGGAAGGTCCCAAAGATGGTAGCTATTTTATTTATCAATATTATTTCATTTTATTTTTCCAAATAAAAAGCTTTGGAAAACTACCATCCTTTTCCTCTGCCAATTATTTTTTGAGGAAAGGACAATATTAACTTACAAATTTTTAGTGAGAAAAAAATCTTTTTAGAATGTTTTTAATGCTTATTTAGTTTTGAGAGAGAGAAAGAGAGAGTGTGTGTGTATGTAAGCAGGGAGGTGCAAAAAGAGAGAGGGAGACACAGAATCTGAAGCAGGCTTCAGGCTCTGAGCTGTCCGCAGATCCTGATGTGGGGCTCAGACTCACAAACGGTAAGACCATGACCTGAGCCAAAGTCAGATCCTTAACCTAATGAGCCACCCAGGTCCCCCAAGTGAGAAAATAATCTTAACTATTTTTATTAACATGGATTTGGCTTATGGAAACTTACTTCATTTTTTTCATGTTTCTTATGAAGTCGAATATCTTATGTCTGTCAAATAAAATTGCTATCTTAAGTCTACCATGTGTCAGGAAGCGAAGACTAGCCAAAACACTAGGGTTTTTCTGAGATTGCAGAGAGCCTCGTGTTTCTGTTGCAAGGTCTCGAAATCATCAATATGAGTGAAATATCAAACAATTAAACAAACTTCAGTGAAAGAGTACCTCTATATTCAGTATAGATTTAGCTATTTTGTAATATTTGAGGAATACACTCAAAATGCATTTGTTCACACACTAAATTTATTTGTTATATGTATTGAATATGTTAAACTTAGGAACAAAAGTGAAAAACATAGAAGGCATATAATGATTAAAGAATGAATATATGAGGGTCACCTGGGTAGCTCAGTAGGTTAAGCCTCTGACTCTTGGTTTTGATTCAGGTCATAATCTTGTGGTCCTGAGATGGAGCCCCAAGTGGGGCTCTGCCCCGCCAGCCTAGAGCTTGCTGGAATACTCTGTCTCCCTCTCTATCTGCCCCTCCCCTTCTTGTGTGCATGTGCTCTCTCTCTCTGTCTCTGTCTCTCTGTCTCTCTCTCAAAATAAAGAAATAAACGTTACAAAAATAAAGAATGTATATACAAGCTAACATGAGAAACAGTACGTGTTAGGGAGGATGTGCGGGAAAGGAACACTCCTGCACTGTTGGTGGGAATGCAAAGTGGAGCAACCACTGTGGAAAACAGTATGGAGATTCCTCAAAAATTTAAAAATAGAGCTAACCTACAATCCAGGAATCATACCATTGGGTGTTTATCCAGAAAATAGAGAAAAACTGATTCAAAGGGATACATGCATTTCTATGTCTATTGCAGCATTATTTATAATAGCCAAACTATGGAAGCAGCCCTAGTGTCCACTGAGATAAATGGATAAAGAAAATGTGCAATATATATATATTATTATATGTATTATATATTATATTATTTTGATATTAATTATAATTATATTAAAATTATATGAGTATAATTATACTATAATTATATAAATATATTATGATTATATAAATATATTTATAAATATATAATTATTATATACTATATATGTGTATTGTATATATTATTCAGCCATAAAAATGAATGAAATCTTGATATTTGTACCAATATGGAAAGCTAGAGAGTATAATGCTAAGTGAAATAATTCAGTCAGAAAAAGACAAATACTATATATAATCTCACTCTTGTGTGGAATTTAAGAAACAAAACAAATGAGCAAAGGAAAAGAAAGAGAGAGAGAGAGAGAACAAGAAACAGACTTTTATATGTTTTTATGTTTTATAGAGAACAAACTGATTGTTACCCAAGGGGAACTGGCTGGAGGGATGGATCATATAGGAGATGGGGATTGAAGAGTACACTTATCATGATGAAATAAAATAAAATAATATTTTAAAAAGAAAAAAATAATAAAAATTAAAATACTAACAATATTAGTCTTAAAGAATAAAAGACACTTTTACTTGGGAAAATCTAAGGAATTTAGGAACTCTGTGTCGGGAACTAGGGTCAAACACCAAATACTAGAACAAAAGTGTGTTTATCACTTATGTATCCGCAAGGGTTTAGGAGGTCTGTGCCAAGAACGGGGCAGAGACTGAC